TATTCATTAATAATAAAGTTCATTTTTCCAAAAATTTCTAATGGGGGGCAATATGCCCCTTCCTTGCTCTGGGGGGGCAACCTCATGGAGCCCACAAGAGCTAGCGTGGCTACCCACTTAGGGACCCTACCTGGCCCCCCTTGAAATTCTAGTCGGGAAGTCATGATAAGCTCGCATTATGACAAAAAGTTTCTGCATTTAAGACAACAAGTATCAGATCATTATTGAAATGAACAAGATCAATACTTCACACACAAGACCAAGACAGTGAAAAAGATGTGTTCGTCTTTTGGTGAAGATTTTATAAATAATGAAGTGGTAGAAATTGTAGACTGCTTATGAGTAGAATACTGTTCCGAATTATTTCAATTAATTTAATGCCTGTGAATATTCAACCAATAGTGGATTGGTGTGAATTACAAAAGTACTGATTACGACATTTTATTTTGAATTTCAATTAATGTTTGACCAATATTTGAACGCAATTTGGAATTTGATTTTATTTTTAATAGTTATGGCATATTAATTGCATGCAGTGTTTACATCTTTATATCTAACATTTCTAAGGATGTCTAACGTTAGACATAATTGCATATGCATGCTGTAAACATTTACTGAAGATAACTTTTTCCTTTTATAACAGAATAAATATTTAATCCATAGTTTAACATACAGTATAGTAGAATTGGCTGATCTTGTTCTCTATTTCTTTACATTCTTTTTTGAAATATGTAATAAATTTATTTGTTTTAGTTTATTTTTTTGGTTGTTTCCCTACTTTTCTTTCTTTAACTGCCTGAATGTCTTTTGAAAGTAGACCTGCATAGTCTTGTGACTGGCTCTTGTTCTTCTTCTCTGTCCTTCAGGTGATGGTAGCTCGGAAAAGTCAAATACTTTAGAGTCAGTCACCAGCGAAAAAAATGACACTATTGTATTTCCAGAGGATATAGTCGTGGATGATGATGGATGTCGGACACCTGACCGGGGTGTCGGTACCTGCACCCCCATTAAACAATGTGCCCCGATGGTACAATTCCTTTTTAACATACCCAAGCCCATTTCACAAAAAAACGCTGACTTTATTAGGACGTACTATTGCGGTTATGACAGAGATTCCGTCAAGGTGTGCTGTCCTAAGAATCCTATAGTTGTAACAGATCGGGATCAACCTGTTACAGATAACAGAATAGATCCACCCGATGTGACCAATCACAGGAATATTAATTTGGTTAATTCCGATCTCTGTGGACCCATGAATCAATTCGATAGAATTCTGAATGGAAACAAAACATCTTTGTTTGATTTCCCTTGGATGGCACTTCTCTCTTATCAGATTGGTAAATTGATATCTTACAATTAGAAATTTTTGTTGTTAAGTAGTATTTTGATAAAATATATTGCGTTAAACATTAGATATACTGTGCCATGTACACTGAAATACTTTGTTTGCTTTCGAAATTTAGTGAGAGAACCTACATTTTGGTTGTTATAGAAGAAGGTCGCCTAGTTTTGAGCAGTTGTCTAATATTTACCATAAAATGTTATATTATATGTGAATAAGTTGATCGCATATTCAGTTTGATAATAGCAAATATCAGTAGATGGCGGTATAGTGCTCATACCTTGATGAAATGATTCTAGTTGAAGCACAAAACATGACTGTTAGCTATTTATATGCTTATTAGCGATAAAGAGTTTTATTTAATTCACATTTAAATTATTAAAAGGGAAATACTTAGAGTAATAAAGTGTTTTTTGTAGTTTGGCAGAGATATAGTTGAAGAATAAATGTGTTTTAAACAAAAATTGGTACATCGGGGACGTTTTTGTTTTACTCATGTGTCCTTAAACATAAAGATGTTTAAATGTTAGTTAGGAATGTCCTAAAATTTCGTATCCAAAAGTAGGAACCCAACTATATGTAGTTTTTGCTTTGTAAAAGGCACCCTTCTTTTATATTTGAAAAAGTACCTACCTTATTTATATTTGATTGTATCGTATATTTTAAGTAGGTACAAAATAATTATTAAAATACCTTCTTATCACACAAAAAGGTTCAGTAACAAAAGTTTCCAAAAGTAAGTAACTTTCCTTTACGGATTACCCAAATTATATCGTAAGTTAATTTTAATTTCTTATACTACAGGAAGAATAAGAGACTTTCGTTGTGGTGGAACCTTAATCAATAGTAAATATGTTTTAACTGCTGCTCACTGTGTGACTAACTTAGGAACTAAACAACTGTAAGTTTCTGCTAGTTTTTTATTAAAGTTTTAAATACATGTATTATTTTTAAATAATTCACCTTATAGGATTGGAGTACGGCTTGGTGAGCACAACATTGACACGGCTCAGGATTGCGAGGACTATCAAGGAAGAGTCATTTGTTCTCCGCCAGTTCAAGATTTTGCAGTCGCAGAAATATTAAGTCATCCAGATTATAATACAAGGGAATATACAAACGACATTGGTTTAATTCGGCTGAGGGGTGAAGCTAATCTAGAACCAGGTATAAATAGATTGAAATTTTGAAAGTATATTCCGACTGTTACACAAGATTACATTTAATAATTACTGCAAGCAAAACTTATTTCGTTTTCCTTAATTGTTTACTAATAAGTATAAGAATATGCCGGAGATTGATCGTTTAGAACAAGGATCGGCAAGTAATTTTTGGTAGGGTTCAGAAGCTTTTGAAAATTTTTATTAAGGTCAGAAAAAACATATTCCTTCTTCTAACAAATGATAAATGTGGCGCTCAAAGCTTAAATATCCTCTGTTAATTATAGAAAATTATTTTTTATATAACTTATTTCAAAAAATTTTTGGCGGTCTAATTTTCGACCTTCCACGGTCTGGATCCGTCTGTCAGTTCCCAGGTTTAGACGCATGAGAGCGTCTTTATATGTAGAGGAGTTAGTAATGAAAAAAAAAAAACATTTTCTTTTGATTGCAGAAAATGTAAAGCCAATTTGTTTACCAACCATTAAACCTATTAGTCAAATGGACCTATCCCAAATTAATGTGACTGTTACAGGTTGGGGTGTCACAGAAAGAGGTAAGATATAATAAACGCACAAATATATTTTTAAAGTTGTTTTTGAACATTCCTCCTTTTCATTGTAATTTGTATATTCAATATCATAAAATTCACGTAACTACTAGCTGTATAAGTCCATTCGACCTTTAGTTGAAACCAGTATTACTTACAGAAACGCCTAGACGAATGAATAAAGGTGGCTTTCCATTTTATTTCTTTTAGGTACCAGAAGTCCTGATTTATTACAGGTGTTTCTTCCAGTTATTGACCAGGAAACTTGTAAAAATACCTACAAAAATTCAGCAGTGCCAATAACTCATAAACAGGCTTGCGCTGGCGGTAAGAATCAAAGGGATTCTTGCGGTGGAGACAGTGGAGGTCCCATGCAAATTCCAGCGGCTTATCAAGGTGACGCGAGGTATTTCCAAGTAGGGATTGTGTCGTTTGGTCCCAAAGTTTGTGGTCGGGAAGGATTTCCGGGAGTATACACTAGGGTAGCACATTACATGGACTGGATATTGGACAATTTGAAACCATAAAATGATTTTTGTTACGATAACAGACTTCCGGTGGAAACAAAAAGTATAAGAACCATAAAGGGCTTTGTGAGATGGGTGCCGTGTAAAGGTACCTACCGTTTAAGCGATGATGATGCCCAGAAAGTGCTTTCAAATACTAGAAACAAAGACTTTTAAAAAATGTGATCTCTTATTATATATATTATAATGTTTNAAACCTCTATTACTAAAAATAAAAACCCTCTATAACAAACGAATAATTTATGCATCGCACCTCAGTAAGTAGTGAAAAGTGGTTTGAATCGGTAGAAAGTCTTCTATGTAAAAGACGAAGAATTGTTGAACTTCCTAATTTAGAAAAATGCTTCTTGTTTACATGGTTTAGACAGTGTAGAAATAAAAAAATTAGTGTTAGTGGACCTATACTAAAGGAGAAAGCTGAAGAGTTTCCTAGTTACTGGAAATCCATAATTTTAAAGCTTAAACTTGAACTCTTAGTAAGTAAAAACCTCAATAACTCAAATTATTTTACGTTTCCCTCGGTCTTTATCTTTTCGAGGTTCTACTGTATTTACAGAATCACAGAAATTGTGTCAATTTTGAGCTTTATTGAATGTGGAAGTCTCAACAGACTTCATTTTCCCTCTCTTTTTCTCTCTCTCTCTCTCTCTCGATAATTGATTTTTAAGTTTTCCCAACTCTTCAACTTTAGCATAATGATATAAAGTCGACTAAACTGCAAACAGTCTGTTATCGGCTACTGTGACTACACATGTTTACTAATATATTTGTATAATATTAATAATAACATCGATGTAAGTCAATTTGAATAAAAAGCGCGTTTCGGGGCCTTGTTTTGAATTCGGTTCAAGATTTTTGCGCCGCGCTGTACACAAAAAATTCTCAAGTACATATATTGGGCATATACCAGCTCGATACGGTGGTATCCACGTATATACTGAAGCAAGGTAGCAAATATTAACCATATAACTATATCGAGATTTCAGGTTCTGTTCTTGTCATTGTTAATTGCGTGACGTAAACGCAGCCGCCGTGATTATTATAAGACCGCGAGTTCATGGCTGCCTCTGATTGCCGTCGAATCATGTTGCGCGTTTTTCTTCGGGAAAACTTTGTGATACTAAGTGTTTTACAGCTATCTTTCCTGTTAGTATCAACATTTGCACGTAAGTGACGAAAAGACCGTGTGAATAATTTAATTTACGATAATATTTTGACTAATAGTACTCTTCCGATATAATAATTTGTTTGTAAATATTTATGTATATGTATATGAAGTGTTTTGTTTTCTTTTTTGGGTTTAGCTTTTGGACAAAAAATAACGAAATACGAAAGAAGAAATCGATACGATTGTGCAAATAATTCCTTATTAATTTTCTGTTCGTTTTGGTTTTTACTTACAAAATATTTTTTAGTGTTTTTGTTTTGTTTGTGTTCAGCGCTGTGCATAACAAATCGACCTTAAATCGTATAACTGTGAAGGTATCATTTAACTATGTATGTCCGTGTGCATAATTAGTAATTCTTCCTTGAGTTTTACTTTTTATTGGGGTCCACTTTTTGTTACATAGATCGGGTACCATTTTAATGGCATGCATTATCAGGTGAAATTGCATAAATATGTAAATTAAATCTCTAGAACTTGATGTTGCTAATTAGATGTCTAATGAGTTATTTCGTGCGTAGTTAAGTTAGGTACTTTTGTGTAGTAATGCGTTCGTTAATTGCATCTCAATAGGAAAACACGTATGCATTTACGTATAAACTATTATTAATACGTACGTGTGCAATGTGAAGGTATAAAAATATAAAAGTTTTGATGAAATTAGGTGTTCAATAATAATAATGCATATACGAGGGTGGATTGATAAGTTTCCGGCCTGACCAAGAAAAACAAGGTTTTTAAAAATTTTTTTTTTTTATTTCTCAACATAATCTCCTCCAAGGCTGATACATTTCTCATAGCGGTGTTCCAGTCTATTAATGCCATCTCTATAGACTGATTCGTCAAGCTCCTCAAAATAACCATTTACAGCTTCGATTACTTCTTCATTGTCCGCAAATCTCTTACCGCCAAGCCATTTTTTGAGATTAGGGAACAGAAAATAGTCACTCGGGGCTAGGTCTGGAGAGTAAGGAGGGTGCGGCATCAATTCAAACTTTAGATCGTTGATTTTAGCCGTCGCAACGATTGACGTGTGCGCTGGTGCGTTATCGTGATGAAACAAGATTTTTTTCTTCGCCAGATGAGGTCGTTTAATTTTCACCTCGTGGCTCAAACGTTGCAATAAGTCTGCGTAGTATTGACCAGTGATAGTATTACCCTTTGCAAGGTAATCAATGTATATAATACCTCTTGCATCCCAAAAAACAGTAGCCATAACCTTGTTCGCCGAAAAAATTGTTTTTGCCTTCTTTGGAGTTGGTTCCCCTGGTCCAATCCACTGTTTAGACTGTTCTTTGGTTTCAGGAGTGTAGTGGTGGACCCACGTTTCGTCAACGGTTACGAATCGACGCAAAAATTCGCTTGGATTACGCTTATACAATGACAAATTTGCGGTAGAAATGTTTTTTCGAATCAATTTTTGGTCGACTGTTAGCAAACGCGGCACCCATCTTGCACAGAGCTTTTCCATATGCAAATGTTGGTGCAAAATATGTTGCACACGTTCATATGACATCTTACAGGTCTCAGCTATCTCACGCACTTTCAATCTGCGGTCTCCCAGCACTATTTGATGAATTTTTTCGATCATATCTGGAGTTGTGACCTCAACGGGGCGTCCTGAGCGAGGCCCATCAGAGGTGCTCACACGACCCTTTTTAAACTCGGAAACCCACTGCTTAACGGTTGAATATGACGGGGAGGATGTCCCCAGTGTTGAGTCCATCTCTTTTTTAATTTCCTTCGGCGTTAACCCCTTCAAATAAAAGTATTTGATGACAGCACGATTTTCCTGCTTTTCCATTTTTACGAAAACCACAGAGGCGTCTTGTTCAGCGTGCTGTCAAACCTACACTAGCAAGGAGATCGGGCTGAAACTATAGCTACAAGCTATCCAAGGATGGTACTATAGAATGTCACCTCAAGGTAGGCCTAGTGGCGTCATCTCTTGGTTAGGCCGGAAACTTATCAATCCACCCTCGTAAATGTAAATCCGGTATTTCTAAACCGTTAGATTGTGTATGTAGATTAGTTTGAGAATTTATGTAAATTTGATACCATTACTTTTTGAATAATGCGCCAAGGGTATTTACAAAGACAATTAGAAATTGCGGAAAGTCCAAAAAGAAAATTATTCAGAACTGGAAAAACCCGTTGCTCACAAAGCGCACAATCACAAAAAAAATATTGTGGTTATTAGTTTTTTTAACTGTTCTAATATTCATTCGGAAATGATTAACTTGAATTAGGAAATAAATAAATAATAAGAGAAAGTGGGTAATTAGGAACACCGAACGAAAATTGTGCTAAAAAATGAATAATTAGAGAATGTCACAGAACGAAAAAACCTTCGATTAAACGTAATGTTCGACAACTAATTTAAAACAATAAAAAAACACGTGTTCATGTAATGTGTAGATTTGTTGACATAAAGCCCTTTCTTAAATTATTTTAGTATTACGAACTCTAATAAGAAGTATAAAAACCTCATTTGTAATAAATGTATATAAAAAATGCAGTTTTTATAGTTTTAATTCTTTTGGTACAATATCTGTAAGCGCGTAACATTCAACGGTAACTATTCGAAAACAATGTCTAAATAAAAGCATAACTATATTATTATATTTCAAATTTAATTTAATAAAATATGCATACCTGCTAAATAAACATACAAATGAAAGTATAACATATATCGGAAGTACATAATAATACATAACTTTTAGTACAAATGGAAATTGAAAAACTTTCATGGTGAATTCTTTTATTAGATCGTCTTCGTTGTACTGTTTTAGGCTATTCTATAAAGCCTTTGTTTTGAATCTCAAATCATCAAACGTAGAAATAATAACAATTATAATCAGTTTGCAAAAGTTTGCATAACTAGAAACTAGATAACAACAAAAAGTATTACTTCCGGTGGGTTTGAAGCACTTTAATATATTCTTTTCTTGGAACAAAATAATTGAAATTTTCTATTTAATTTACTACACTTTAACACTAAATAAGTATAAAAAAAGGAAACTTTGCCACTGTTTGAAAAAAGGAATATGGGACAGTCTTAGTCTTGGTATTGCTTTGGTCATCACCAGTTATAAGTGGAAATGTATGCTTGTGTGTCTGTCTGTTATGTGTTCACGATTGGACAACTAATCTGACTTCAATGAAAGGGAAAAAGGTAGCTCAAAATCTTGATAAAATAAGATACTAAGCCGATGGAGACGAAGGCTAATTAACTTAAATTACTAGAGAATTAAGTTTTTAATTTCTTTTATGTGTAGCCCAGAAAATAATGTAATTAGGACTTCTCTTGTCTGTAATATTTAGTGGTGTATTATCAACTTACCTACTAAAATAAACTAAAGCATTCCGTATCTAATTATAATGTCCATTATAGTAGCAGACCTTTTCATATAAAGAAATATCCTTATTTCACGTAATACTTTATTACTCATTGTATTTAGTGAATTATTGATACATAATGTAAATAATTATCCTGGTGTAATTATCTGAAAATAGTTTGTAAGCAGCAATTACATTGCAAATATATCTCGTATATTACAGGCTTGTAAAGAAATACAGTCAATGTACTGTAATAGTATAGTGCAGTCCTTGACATTCTCAAATTTATGTTTTCTATAAGTCTTTACATTGTCATTACAGTAGGCGGCACGTAGTGACTTATCCTACTTAACTGATTAAAATTGACATAACTGATCAAACATTTTACCATTAAAACTCAATAAAGTGGCGCTTACATACACTTGGTGACATTGTTATTGAAAT